ACCCGGGTCCCGCCCATGCTAGGCGAGCGCTCTACTGCTGAGCCACAGTCCCAGCCCAATTTATATATTTTTTGATGAAAATATTAATCTGGCTTTCGAATTCAGTTATGTTTTGACCAAATGAGGACATATAAGATGAAACTATTAATCTCTATCTTTAATATCCTATTTGGGGGGGGGGGATCAAGAATTTTTTAAAATACGAATTTGCAGACACTAAAATAACTATTTTCCTACATGCTTGCTTAACATGATTCTCTTTTGTAATGATTAATTGTAATGTGCCATATTAAAAGGCTTTGTAAACTATATGGCATTATATAAATGTGAGTTATTATAATTATTGAATAGGCCATTAATTAAACATAGCAATATTAGAAAAATGGAGTTTTTAATTGTCATTAGTCTTTGTAAGTGTTAACTAATGATTCTCTGGCAAATCTTAATATCACAGCTCATTTGAAAGTTGGGAAAAAGGAGGAAAAGTGTTATAATTTGCACAGGGCCTTTGATTTAGTCTTTGGTAGGTTCAAAGTTAAATGGCAGCAAACACCCCAGAACTTGGGTCTAACTGTTCAATTACCTCTCGGTTCTTTCCCCTCGATGCCTGTGATTAACAAACCTCTCATTTAGCCTCTTTCCTCCAGCTGGCTTGAGTTGGACTCTATGAGTCAGCTCTTTTATTTAGGTTTTTCAAAATTTTGTTGATGTTAGTGGGTTTTCTTAAAGGTACCATAGAAATCCAACTTCTATGGTTTAAAATCATTTCCCTAAGCCCTGGTTAGCTCAAAAGCAAAACATGTCAAATGCTGATGTTCACTGAACTTAGCAAGTAGCACAGACAGGCCTCAGGTGCAATGAGCCAAAGTAGAGCCATATCTGAATGATTAGCCAGGGCTCTCTGGAGCACCGTGTTGGGAAAGACCCTAAGACTCTGTGGGGGCTTGGTGGGGCAGAGTTCCAGAATCGATTAGGAGTGTCTGCCATGGACGCGTATGGGGTGTTGACCGTCACAGAGCTTCATTATGCCATCTAAGGTCTAGGTGCATAAGCAGCAGTGTGGAGCTGGGAGAAAGTCTACTTATTAGCAGATGTCAAAAAAAAAAGAGTACTGACCCTAAGAGACAAATGAGTTAGGGGCTGACCCATCTGAACTAAGAAATGATGACTTCCCCAGCAAATCTTCCTCTACAGCCGCCTTTAAATCTAACATGAACCCAGTCTCTTCATGGACAATCCAATCCTTGAGTCTGTCAAAAAGATGAAAACGGAAACCAAACAGCAATACCTCCCCCTTGTCCACTCAGAGAAAGAAGCAACCAGAAAGAGTGAAAAAAAAAAAACTCATCTCTAGCCAGATGAAACCAGTATCTGCCCAAATAAACCTCTACTCCCTCCATTCTTCAAAACAAAACTCAAAAACAGTAATGAACTTCCAAATGCAACTAGAATGGGAAATCTCCTGACACAGCACTTTTTCCAATAAGTTCTGTTAAGCGCGACTGAAAACTCATTGATATTTTAAAGCCAAAAGGCTGATTATAGCCCATTTAGACAAAGCCTTAGCTTTTGTTTATTTTCTAATCTACCAAGAAGAGAAAAGGAAAAAAAAAAAAGCACATAGGAAAAAAAATAGCAACCCTCTTTTAAAAAGAAAGTTAGCTCCCAGCTGCTTACAATTGCCTTCTGCCTCTGCCTCTCTCTCTGCTTGGCCCTTTCGGATTCCCGCTTCTCGTACTCTTTGCGGTGTTCTTCCCTCTTCAGCCTTTCGTGCTGATACGCCTCATAGCTGTCATACCTGGGAAACACAACTTCGTCATTAAGTCGACCACCTCCATTTGCAGGAGCAAGAAAAATGGTAATTTGGGGAGGTCAGAAGGGCTTTAGATACCATCTTGTCATCTAAAGGAAGGGATATAAGGAGCCCAAGGACAAGGACACGCCTCATTACCTGGGCCGCCGGCTGTAGGGCGATCTTGAACGTGATCTCACATATAAGGGAGAATTTCGGTGCGTGCGGTGTCTGTAGTGGCTTGACTCATAGTAGTAGCAGGACCTGGGAAAGAGGAGAAAAAGGAAAGGGACATTTGCCACTGCCACTGACCCCAAGTTTACTGGCGCTACTGAACATCCCGCAGAACACCGGGCTACATAAACTGGCTTTTCCTTCCTAGCTCCTAGTGAGATTTCCCAGTGACAGCCTGTGATCAGCTAGTCAGCTCAGGGGCCTGGGAGGGATGTGTTCTCTCTCTTTGCTTCCTTATTGATGTGAACACTGAGCACCAGGTCTGGTACGCTGTCAGCTTTATCTCGCATGGATCTCAACTATCCTGGCACAGGGCAGCTCTCCAGGTAATGGAAAAAGTTAGATGAACAAGTTTCTTACAAATTGCTCTCTCTGATCGCATTGGCTCAAGGCACTGCGCCCAGGCCTGAGAGCTGAAAGGGATCTTGGGGAGGGAGGGACACTTAACAATATGGTTTCAGCCAAGAGGAAAGGCTGGGGGGGGGGGGGGGGGGGGGCTGGCTGTGGGGTTTGGATACTTCTTTGACTTCCTGAGCAGCACCTTAAGGCCCGGGTGGCTTTTGACAAGGTTTACCTTGAGGAGGATCGACTGCCTGGGGACCTTGATCTTGACCTGGAATATGGTGATCGGGAACACGACCTGTGTCGAGAAAAGGACCTTGAACGAGAGCGCATCCTTTGGGGTCTTTGAGAAAATAAGGATTTGGGTGGTGACACAGAATCTCTACACGGAGAGTTAAAAGAAGAGCAAGAAGGCGACACGTCGAACAATGAATAGGATTGCGTGCCATCCCAAGGGCAGCTCAGTTTATCACTTTCATCTTCGCTGTCATCGAACAGGCCATCCATGGCTAGTCCTGAATTTATAAACATAGGTAGTTTGGAGAATTGTTCATTACTGAAATCACTGTCCCTCAGTTCACTGGTCTTGTCTGCTTCGTCGTCAAAAACAGCTTGACTGGGATGACCGAAGTGCTTGTTCAGCTCGGCTCGGATCTCCTGGTCTTGGAGCTGTTTTCTGGTGCCGCAAGGAGAGACCTGCTTGCTGGCCTCCAGCGTCTCTCTCAGGTAGAGCTGGTCTGAGTCTGTGGAAGAACAAATCTGCCCCTGCCAGGCAGAGGAGGCATCTTTATAGTCTAGTTGTCTAGAGTCTGGGAGCTCCTGTGACACGTGAATAAGTATTTCCGTTTTGGAATTAATTGACTGGCAATAGTCATGGTCACCAAACAGGCGTGGGCTGGGCCGTTTGGCCTTCCTTTCCTCGTGTCCACTGCTGGGCACTGAGGACTTACTGAGCTGCGCGTACAACTCAGACTGCTCAGGCCCGTTTTTGGTAGAGTTATTGCCTTGGGTACCAGAAGACTCGCTGTACCGGGCCTTCTTTGATGGCGGTGGCACCACGGTCTTGCAGGAGGACTTCGGCTTTGGAGAAGCCCTGAAAGGGTTATCTTGGTTGGCTTTATGAGGAGGAGTTGTGGGTGGAGTGAGGCCTGAGGAAAAAAAAAGAAAGAAAAAAAAAAAGAGTAGCAATAAAGAAAGAAAAGAGACAGAGATGGTGTTCTTAAATGACAAGACACGTTTCTTAAGTTTTCCGAGATTTCAGACAAGGGTTAAAACTGAGTGAAGAAGCAGGAAGCTAAATTCAGGGCAACACTTGAAAAACAGACTCTTCCCCTAAGCCTCTGTCACCAAGAAAAGATGGATCGACGGCGCCAGGCAGCAGCAGGAGCTGTGATATTTTGTATTTCAAACATCGATGCTAACAAATCCTGCTTCCCAGGCAACATGAAGGTGTCACCCCCAGCCCCCACAGCTCCAGCCATCACACTGCTCATTCCTTCAAGGATACGGTACAGGCTGCCTCATGGAAATTCAAGCAATGAGACTCAGGAGCCACAGAACAGGCCTCAGTTCCATTTGTCTGCAAAGAATATTGCAAAAGAGGCATGCGCTCAGGGCTCTTCAGCCCATCAAGAAAATGTAACCTTGAAGCTGGGGAATTAAGCAATTTTGAAAATTGAAAAAAAAAAAAAATGGAATGAAAGCAAACGTTGGTCAGGGTGGGAATGGCAGAGGCATCTTCCAAGTCAGTGAAATACGACAGACCAGACGAATGCAGGGAACCAGAGTCACTCGATGACTTGACGGCAATGATTCTTTGTCTCCACAGTTCATTAGCTTAGTAAACCATGGCTAATGTAGGTATAATACGTTCTTGTAAGCATAACTAATACATTCTGTCTAAAATATGGTTCTGCAACAGAAACCTAAGTGAACGGTAACAGTAAATATCGCTGCGCCAGTGGACCATTTTATTTAGAGCACATCAGTGAGGGCGATGAGACGGAAGGATTGAAATGAATCCGAGCTCTGGCAACTAATTAAATAAAGAAGAAATAAAGGAAGAAAGGGGAACACTCGTCAGTTGTTGCCCTTCTTCCTCTGCCACGGAAGGGTGGAAAATTCCATCCCAGGCCAAGGTAGGAGGGTCTGTGCAGTACGGTAGCTACCGCTAAGTTTCACCCCTCAGCAGATTCTCCTCCTCCCTCCACACCAAGGAAGAAGCCTTGTGAAATGGCTCCAGAGTCCAGGGGACTTTGAAGAAGGGCAGGCTGGAGTTCAAATGACTTCATGCTTACAAGGGAATATTTTAGTTTACAATACACTGTCTATTTAGAAGGATGGGTGAACCTATTCAGCAAAAAAGAGTTTTCAGCCCGCCAACAAGCCTGGGGTTAGACTTGAGGCAACTGCACGTTTTTCAAGGAAAAAAAAAAAATCCTACCTTACTGGGAGAAAAAAAAAAAATATATATATATATATATGTATATATATATATATATACATATATATATATATATATATATCTCAAGAACCAAGTAGGTCACAGAAAGCCACATGAAATTTTGATATGAAGAGGAAAATGCTGCCTCGCTCTCCTAATTTACACACATACAAAAAAAAAAAAAAAAAAAAAGAGGTAGGAGAACTCAATGCTTTCTCCCCCCAAATGAACCATTCTACACCCATTTTTTTGGCAAATTTGAGTAATCATGGGTAATCTTACTAAATGAGAAGATGAAGGACATCAAAATAGGAAGGAGTTTGGCCTGATTCCCATTCCAGAAAATCCTGGAAGGCCCAGGAAGGCCGTGCAGAGGGGCAGACTCTTCTCTCCATGCTCCTGGGCCTGGAAGACTTGCTTTGGCCGGCAGCTGCTCTTGAAGCCCCTCCCTGCCCTTTGCTGCCGCTGACAGGCATGAACATTTGACTGAACAGAACACCTGTGCCACTCAGGTACGCCCCCTCTGCTTCCGCTTTCTTAGAAGAGTAGTCTTCTGTTCAATCTAAGAAGTCTGATGTGGTCCCTTTCCTCTCCTCTCTCTTTTTGTAGCTCTGTATACCTGCTCTGCTCCATTTCCACCTCCCACTACCTTCAACTACCAACACAACAAATTTAAAGACACTGATGTCCAGGAAAGAGATGGCAAGTTTTCAAATATTCCTCATGGGCATCTAAGATGCTTAGAAAATAATGATGCATAAGCTGTTTTTCGGAATAAATATCAGTTAAATATGCCAGATGATGGGGCCCTTAAATTGGAGGAAGTGACGTACAACTTCCAACAACCCAACTGCGTAAATCTTTTCATCGTCACTCCAAGTTAGGGTCGTTTGTACCTCTCCGATAATTTACTGCTAGGATCACTCACTTCCTACAGGAAAGAGAGTGCTGCCTTCTTGCTTATCTCCTTTTCAATGTGAACTGTATCTTCTCTCAAAATAGATCTTAAACTCTTTTAGGGATGTCTCTTGGGCTTATTTCTCACAACCTGTTTTTGCTCATTTTTATTTTTCCAGCTTCTCCTTGAACAGAAAATCTCTCATTTCAGGGGCCCAAGATTCGCTTCAGAAGCTGGCTAAACATTTTTAATGAGGAGGTGCCCAGACCACATATGGAGCACCAGGGCCCTCAAGAATCTCCATAGGACATCGCCTCGTACTCCCAAACCTGTGTTTCAACGGACACTGTCGATTTATAAAAAGAAACCCTAAACTTCAGAAACACCAAATTAGGCCACTATTAGAGATGAGTTCTAAAAATATCTCAGCTATCTAGGGATTTTAAATATAGAAATTCTTTTTAGTCTTGAAAATTCGAAACCCTGTCCCAGTACCTAAGCTCATTATCGCTTAAATAACTGGTTCTCAAGTTGCTCTTGGAAGTGGCAACACTATACTTTCTTTGAGTTAAAAACAAAGCCTTTTACCTCCTCCATGTATTAAATGGCTTCTGGCGATTGAATAGGAGTTCTTTAAACACCTACTATGTGCCGAAAGATATGACTGATGCTGCTATGTCAGGGATTCCACCCTCAAGGACCCCATGGTTCATTTTAATAAAAAGACAATTCTTTCAAATTTTTAATCAGTATATTTTTCTTTCAGATATGCTTGAAATTTGTGAAAATGCTCAGAGACAACCCAACATGTCCGGTGAGTGAAAATATCAGGACTGTGAATTTCTGTTAGTATCACCTGTTAAACCAAACAAGTAATATTTGCTTATTGGATGGGAGATACTTTAGGATTAGTCCCGAGGTGACCAAAGGAAAATAATTTAGATAGTTCCCTAAATTTTTTACCCTTCATTGAAAGATCTTTAACCAGAGAATATCTCAGCTCAAGATTGAGAAATAGCAAGAATGACAAGATTTCCTATCGCCAAGTGCTTAATTGAAAATCTATCTCCAGATATGGTTGAGACCCCAGGCCAAACAAAACTAAAGGGCAAAGAGTTTTTTTTTTTTTTCTTTTAACATAGCGCCAAACTTTCCAGAGCTGCTGATGGGATCCCCAACCTTGCAGTGTCCCTGAACCCAGGGAATCTCTCCAACCTCACCTCCTCTGCCCACATTTCCTTTCCCCGGGGCAGGAGGAAGGTCAGTACTCAATTCCTTAACGTCGCTACCTTTGCTCATCTTCCCGCTAATCGCTGGACTCTCAATTTCATGCCACAAGCCTAAATCAACAGTGCTAATGCCTCCCATAACCTCCGGATTATTTCCTGTGTGTTGATTTTCTGGAGAATGTGTACATTTTGGTGTTGACATTACAAGGTATATTCCATGCTCTCTCTTGAACTTAGCAGGTTTTGACAGATTTATGTGAGGACAGATGGCCATTACAGGCTGAAGGCTGACAAGAGGCAGTTCAGAGCATTGTTAACACACTTGCACAAACTCTCAGCAGTGCAGCTCTGTGCAGAATGTAATTCAGACTATAGCTTTTTTATTGCTGCCTATTTTCTTTTGTCAAAAGAGCCTGCTGTGCAGAGCAACAAATGGCTGCTATTACCCAGAATGTAATGGGTGTCAGACAAATCACGTAACACAAACAATCAAGAGGATGTAGGTCATATTTCAACAGAGCACAACCTTAGCAATATTTATGATTACTGCATTGAAATGTGCTCTATAATAAACAAGTACCTCTACATCACTCACACTTCTGCACGGCAAATCTGGGCGAAGTGGCACACACTCTTACAGTCATCATTTTAAGCAGCCCCTTTTATTAAAAAAAAAAAAAAAAGTCAGAGACAAGTTTAGTTTTGTTTGGTCTTTCATTGTATACTCTAAAACAATTTTCTTTGAGGACTCCTCTTTGGGGGTTGTTTGTTTAATTGCATGACTTTGATAGATGGAGAAGCTTCGCTCCGTTTCTTGGGCTCCACCATCCATCCAACTTCAGCCGGACTCTTTTCTTTTTTTTTCCCCTGTTTTGCTTCAGAGTTTTATAACATTTTATAGCATCTAGTGCTAACTCTGCAACTTAGTTTTGAGTTTATTTAACAGCAGGGATTTGCTTGAGTAGCACATCAATTCAGGTATTCAAGGAAAAACAAATAAAGGATTTCTAATTTGCTTAAAATCTCACCAAGACAGGGAGACCGGATAAAGAGAATGTGACTCTTCCTTCTCATATTTTGTAGGCTTCCAGAACGTGGAGTGGGTGAGACAGCAGGGGAAGGCTGGGGACCAACATCACCCCTACAGCAGTTGCTATTCAGTTGATAAAGGACCTCGCCTGCTCTCCACACTCTCCACCCTGCACTTTCCCAGGAATCATGGGTGCTGCATGCACCCCAGGCATTAACGTATCAGCACTTGGCACAGAGGGGCTCCACACCCTGCTCTGGCAATCTGGTTGACATTAGTTAATTCTGACTGAGAAGGTGCTGACTTTACTGTTTCAAATATTTCTTGTATCACTCTTGATTATGGAGGAACAAACGGGCCTTACAATAAAGTTCTGAACATTCCTATAACATGCACCCAACTCTCCCACTCATCCTCATGGAAGATGAAGATACGATTTGGCCCACACGCACCTTCCCACAGAGCATTGCAGGTGTCCACCACTAAAGTCTAGAGTTGATGTGGGAGAGGAAACTGCTTTGTTATTCTGGGCATCAAGGAAATGGGAT